AGATTAGACACTCCTAATTATTTCACCTGAAGATTAGACACTCCTAATTATTTCACCTGAAGATTACACTCCTAATTATTTCACCTGAAGATTACACTCCTAATTATTTCACCTGAAGATTAGACACTCCTAATTATTTCACCTGAAGATTAGACACTCCTAATTATTTCACCTGAAGATTAGACACTCCTAATTATTTCACCTGAAGATTAGACACTCCTAATTATTTCACCTGAAGATTAGACACTCCTAATTATTTCACCTGAAGATTAGACACTCCTAATTATTTCACCTGAAGATTAGACACTCCTAATTATTTCACCACTCCTAATTATTTCACCTGAAGATTACACTCCTAATTATTTCACCTGAAGATTACACTCCTAATTATTTCACCTAAAGATTAGACACTCCTAATTATTTCACCTGAAGATTACACTCCTAATTATTTCACCTGAAGATTAGACACTCCTAATTATTTCACCTGAAGATTAGACACTCCTAATTATTTCACCTAAAGATTAGACACTCCTAATTATTTCACCTGAAGATTAGACACTCCTAATTATTTCACCTGAAGATTACACTCCTAATTATTTCACCTGAAGATTAGACTCCTAATTATTTCACCTAAAGATTAGACACTCCTAATTATTTCACCTAAAGATTAGACACTCCTAATTATTTCACCTGAAGATTAGACACTCCTAATTATTTCACCTAAAGATTAGACACTCCTAATTATTTCACCTGAAGATTAGACACTCCTAATTATTTCACCTGAAGATTAGAAACTTGCTTCTTATACATGAAGATTAGACACCTCAGCTTATTTATTTCACCTGGTGATTCAACTACCTCACGCTAACCTGACCCCCAGAAAGTTTAGGGTGTCTATTCTTCAGTTGATCCAAATTCTCTTTATACTGTACTATATTGTACACTACATGCAGTTTAGTTTTCCATAATATAGGTAGGTAAATTTTGGAGTAGAGAAACGTTCACTCATGGGTAAAAAACTCGCCGGTTTAAAAATCAGATCAGAATGAGTGAATCTTTGACGGAGTTTCAATTTTATGAGTCAACAGTGAAAGTATTCTGCATTTTTTTTTATTCGACCGACTGACCTTTCATTGGTAACAAGTATGCAGCAACATTTAATTTTTAATTTTTCTTGTTGCTGTACCTCTGATGGTTTAAACTTTAAAGTCAACGAACAGTAAAGCAAATTTTAAGACATGAATGGTTGACGCAGCCAGCCAGCCGACGCCGCCATTACACTAAACAAACGAGTCGCGTATATCTGCTGCACTTTATCTCCCGCACTATCTATTATGCGGAAGTCATATATTACTCAATGGAGAAGTCTTGATCAGTGGTGAAAAGGATAAAAGTAAAAAGTAAAAGTATAGACTGGGCGTGTTAGGGGGAGGGGGGGGTGCTGAAGAGGCTTTTTTTTTCAAAACTTCGTTAGTATACATAGCATACGATGTTTTTGTCCTCAGGTGGTAATAACAACAACGTTACTATTAATTATTATTATTATTATTATTATTATTATTATTATTACCCAGCAACAGATCTAGATGAGTGAGAGCATGAAATCACCGGTTGACATATTAACCTAACTTAAGCTCTACTGCCACTCACGACGAACAGGTCTCCCAGTAAAGTAATCCTCCTCAGGTTTAGTGTTAGTACATCAAGAAGCTGGTAATACTTGCAGAAAACCTGTCATGTTCGGTCAGGTGTGTCTCGCTGGCCCACATCATTCACACTCAATAAAATATGTGATTGATAGCAGTAAGTCAATCCTTCATAGGGAAAATGATATTTTTTTATATATAATAACATAGGTAAGTAAAATGCAATAAATTGATTGTATGGAGAAATAAGACAAGAATAAATTAAACTCGGCACATAAACTTGTTATAGATGTACAGTACAGTTGCATCAATAAATTCCTGGACACTTGGCGGTATATGAGTAAGTAGATGTTGTAATTCCAATTCCCTTAACCACATGAACCACAATTAAATTCTAAAACTGTCCAGGGAATTTTGTCAAGAATTACACACAAACAAAGCTATTATGAATTGCCAAGGACGCCCAACACCTAACTGGGGATGACGAAGACTGTAGAACGTACACAAACCACGAAAATCCAGACATATTTTTAGACTACAACTTTTACTGTTCGTCGACTTTGGTCTCTGTTACCTTGACCCCAGAGAACTTAAGTAAAGGCTCTATCGCTATGACTGACAAGCTGCCGACACTGAACACATTAAGTAGGGTAATTGAACCACGCTGAAATAACCCACATAAATATAAATATAAATAACATTAAAGTAAAAATGTGAAAAACTGTCTTGACGCTGACTCACACATCAACAGTACACAGAGCTAGGTACTGTCCTCAGCCTCCCGACCTCCTCCTCGACGCACACACCACTCCCACGAAAAGGTTTGTCTCTTAACACTGCCAATACAATGCATATGTGCCTCCCTCCACCCCCACCGTGCCTATCCTACCACAGCACAGTCCCCAGCCGCCACCCCTCCTCTCCCTCCACCCCCACCGTGCCTATCCTACCACAGCACAGTTCCCAGCGGTCACCCCCCCTCCCTCCATCCCCACCGTGCCTATCCTACCACAGCACAGTCCCTAGCCGTCACCCCCCCTCCCTCCACCCCCACCATGCCTATCCTACCACAGCACAGTCCCCAGCCGTCACCCCCTCCTCCACCCCCACCGTGCCTATCCTACCACAGCACAGTCCCCAGCCGTCACCCCCCCTCCCTCCACCCCCCACCGTGCCTATCCTACCACAGCACAGTCCCCAGCCGTCACCCCCTCCCTCCACCCCCACCGTGCCTATCCTACCACAGCACAGTCCCCAGCCGTCACACCCCCTCCCTCCACCCCCACCGTGCCTATCCTACCACAGCACAGTCCCCAGCCGTCACCCCCCCTCCCTCCTCCTCCTCCATACAGGCCTGGCACTTGACTTATTAGGGAACTTACTACGCCTTGCCATAAACAGATATATTGTATCGGGAATCCCCCCCCACACACACACACTCATCCTGTCACTATTATGTAACAACTATAAAATCCATGACCCTTCAGGTACTCACACCCTTAGCTACCATCCGACACATTCCTGATAACATTGTCGTAAACATTTTTTATATAAATATTTTAACTTCGTATAATGGCTCTTGGTGCAACATTAACATAAGATTCGTTAATGTTAACATACTAGTCGCGGCAAGAACAGCATTTCATATCAAATCACTCATTAACATAACTATCTTGTTCAGTGGTAACTTGTCATCACCGTTCTCTGTGCGTCAAACGTCGCCAAATCGTGTATCTACTGTAGACTTGAGTCATGGAATCATTTGAAAATTACACACATAGCTTATTTCACCTGCAGATTAACTACCCTAACGCTACCTGGGGGGTTGTGTGTGTGTGTGTGAAGAAAGACTTTTATAGTGTGTGTGTGTGTGTGTGTGTGTGTGTGTGTGTGTGTGTCACTGTACACCTGAAAAATAACCATGCCAACTTTGAACCTCAGAACTTATTGAAGGTTATACGCCTCCCCCCAAAAAAAAAATCAGGTGTGTTTTGGAAATTGTCACAGCATAATTTGTGTATTTACAGAGACAATATATATGTCTTCACACACACGTTCCATAAATGCTACTGTGCGAATTTTGGATCACTGACAATTATGATTTCTTAATAAAAAAAAAAATCCCGGCAAATTCTGCAAATCCAAATGCGGACAAAAATCTTAAAAAGAAAAATGCAATGACACCAAGTCGATTAATTTACAAATAAAAATAAAAATCATATACAAGACAAACTTCATGAAACTTAGGAACCTTCGTTTATTTCACCTGACGATTAAGCACTCCAGCGCTAAATAGGGGTTAGGTTAGGTTTGGTTTGGCTAGATTATGTTAGGTTAAGTTTTATTAAATTATGTTAGGTATGGTTAGATTATTTATTCTTTTTTTTTGCGGGGATTAGTTCACCCAGGCACAGGTCACAGGCCCACATCGGGGCCTGGGGGCGAAAATGTAATAATAATAATAATTCAGAGTACCTCCCTGTTTGGTAGCTGCCTACTACCCGTTAGGTTTGGTTAGATTAGATTATGTTAGGTTTAGTTTTATTGTATTATGTTAGGTATAGTTTTATTATATTATGTAAGGTTAGGTATAGTTATGTTATGATGTCAGAATATGTTAAATTAGGTTTAGTTTAGGCTTAGCATTACGATGTTAGTTAATTCTGGGGTGATATAAAGAGGTGAACTCTTTAAACCTTGTAGGCAGCATGATCAAAACTCTCACACATTCATTCAAAAACATTTAATCCACATAGCTATTTTTTCCGTAGATTCTTCCTTGTTCATTATTTCGTGTAGTTGTCAGTATATTTTATCGTCTCTTATTAACTCGGTAAATTATAATCTTATATTTATGTTTATAGAATTATGATGAAATTATTGAACCAAATATCTATATGTAACATCTAATTTACAGTTATCTGTTTGTATTACGAAGAGCAGTGTGTGGGTGGAAGATGAGTAGGCCAACGGTAGTTATGGGTTGTTAAGATGGTTGCTTGTTTTATAAAAGTATTTCTGTCGCCAGCCAATCAGAGCGAAGGTTACGAAGGTTCAGTGGTTTCTGAGGTGTGAGTCAGTGATTCAAGCGGTTCGAATAAGATTAAGTTTATACGTGGTCTGTTGTACGAACTTTTATATTGAATTTTGTTCTTTGAATTTAACGTATAATTAAAACTCATTTTATATTCTTGTGTTATCGCAGATGTTAATGAATTATTATAAAATCTGGATGAATGGAGAGATCAGTTGCTTCGAAACAAATTTAAGAGGGACGCTATGGATCGAACAGGTGTCCGGATTGATGAACTGCTGCTCGAATTAGTTCCGGAGCCAACGTTTTATCTGGCCGCAATGAGGAAGTCAGTTGTTGGTCCAGCCAGCAGCAACACGGTCACAAGACTTGTTTCAAGGTTTGTTCGGTCAGCTGGGTTAAGTGTTTTTGTTGGATTTGTTATATTTAATTTGTTTACTAATGTGTGTTGTTAATTTGGGTTTTTATATTCTACGGTTTTATTTATAGTTTGGCCATTGTTTTACATTTTACTCTTTTCTTTCCAGATTTGCCATTGTCTTGCCAGGGAAGATGGCCACGACCTTGGCTGTCTCTATGGCATTGTTGCTATTGGTGACATGGTCGTTCTTTACTTCTGCCCAACCCTCTTCCGGTGAGACATTTATATTTCTGGCTATGTATGTCTAAACTATTAAGCTGACGGTGACCGGACGGGTTTTCTGTATAACTTTGAACTCGAGCCAATTTTTAGTTGGTTTTGTGGCTTCCTCATCTGTCCAACCTACAATATCGGATTCCGTTCCGTGGTTGAACATTAAATGTTAATTTTAATGTTTAATTTTATAAGATACCGTTCAACTTATAAATTGCTGTGAAGTTCATTTTCTTTAACTTGCAAATAAATTAGACATAATTGTAATTAACTCAATGCTCGTATGGTTTTGAAGCCCTATTACAACTTAAAAATTAAAAACCCTGTACAGTAAAGCGTTGCGTATTTGCAGATGACGAACCCCATAACATGCTTACGGATGACGAACACAACATAGAAAAGAGATGTGTACCGTCCTCCCGGTGTTGCCGATTTCCGGAGTTGAGCGAAGAATTCCTAGACTGTTGTAACATCGAAGGCTGCTGCCCCAAATGCGACGAATATCTAGTCCACAAAGGTGACCCATCTATTACATGTTGAGTTATATTATGTACTAATGCATTAAATTACTAAATTATTTCTAACATATTGCTGAAGATTAATCTGGCTGTTGATTTTTGCAGGGTTTGGTAGTTTCCAAATTAAGTTGGACTGTTTGGGAGCTTACGAGTGCTGTATCTACCCATTCGTTTCCGACTCTTTCAACGAGTGCTGTAATAAATATGGATGCTGTCCTGTGTGTCGCAATGTAGCGAAAGGTTAGTGAGGAAAAGGCTAGTTTTAATAACCACAAAAGGCATGGCTTCATAAATTAACCACATTTACCCTTAATTTCCTGGATTAATTTATTTTCATTAGTTACTCTAAAAGTGAGTTGTGTGGTGACTTGCATTGGCAGTATAACTCGACTAGAGTGAATGACCATTAAGGTCGTGTAGTGTTTTTCCATCGTAATTGTTTTATGATAACAGTGGGTAATATGAACAAATTAATCAAGTAGAAAGGCTAGTAACCCAAACCATAGGATGTTTAAGATCGTTTCTAAAACCTACTCTGTATTAACAGGTTGCTGCTACAACCACGCCATGTACACATGGGGAAGTGTAATAGAGTCCTTCCCAGAGTGCTGTACTGATTTGGTTTGTGCAGCAAAGGTAACTAACTCGACTCCATACCTTGAGGCTGTGGTGGTCAGTGTGCAGTATCCTCCCACGAGTAATGGTAAGCGACTTTAATGTTTTGTGTGCATATCCTTGGTTAATGTCAATTAAACTTGGTGTAATTTAACTTTGGATAAGTCTTGATTATATTTGTGCAGTACTTCGAAATTTGATTTCGAGGAATGCGTAAACCGTTCAAAATGCGTGCAGCTTTAAGTCTGAATTCAAACTGAGCAATTTTACTAGCAAGTTGCTCCAATAAACTAGCAAGGGCTTTAAGGTTACTATACTTTTATGGCAGAAGCCTTGCTGCATCTCTAATATACTAGATTAAAAGGGCAATTGGAATATAAATGTCAGTGCTCTAACTGATTAACGTTTGTAAATGGCGTCTTCGTGTAAACCCTGCACTTGTGTAATTATTATAATGAATACTTTGGAAAATATATGAAACACGAGGGACTACGATAATTTAATAAAGGAGTTCTTGTTTGGTTTTGTAATATCTTGTTAGAACCTGACAGGTCGGAGCAGGTAGAATTTCGGTTCTTTCAATATGTACTGATCTTTATCTTGCAGATCAAGACTGTAATGAAGTAGAGAACGACTACTGCGTTGATTCAAATGGAATAATCCATCCTGTGGGCTCTGAATGGTTTGTGAGCGCTTGTGAGTTGTGTCGGTGTGACAATGGCGTAATTAATTGTCGCCGCGTGAGAATTCCATGTCCACCTCCCCCGCACCCCCACTGTAAGGAGTTGCCCGGAAATTGCTGCCCTACTTGGGATTGTGATAAACTTAATGGGTAAGTGGGCAAATCTGATATAAAATTTGACTTGCCTATAATTTGTCAATTTAACAAATTTTCTTAATGTAGGTGGTATAGTTCTTGCATCCTAATTTTAAGGCTACACTATTATTGTAAGAATTTTAATAGATGTAAGTTATAATTGTAGACTGGCTTAGTGAGGTAATATAAATATGATCTATATTGTAACTTGGGAGGTAACTTCAGTTCAACTCGTTCAATTGGAAATAATCAGTTTGGGTGTTTTGTTTCGACCAACAAATGATTTGGTTGAGCAATTGGTTTTAGATAGTTTAGAGAATTTGTAGACTTCCCTCTCACGTGTTCTAAAATAACCTAACCAGGGCTCCCCTCGCATCAATCCCCGTTCTTGTGTTGTCCTTTGAAAGGGTAATTTGACAGATAAGCATCTTAAATTTGTCTAAAACATATCTACACTAAGATCTGGTAGGTTGAAATGATTTATCTTTCATTTGAAATGATTGCTAATTTGCTTAGTGTTCTTAAAATTTTGGGTTTTTTTTCCAGCTCCTGTGTGGATAGCGACGGTAGAATGCACAAATTGGGTGATGAGTGGTGGGACCTGCAGGACCCCTGTGTCCACCACAGGTGCACACGGGCTGGGATAACCACAGCGGTGAAAGACTGTCCTCGACCTCCCCCTCCGCCCCACCCGAACTGTCGGCTGGTAAAGGACGATGATGAATGCTGTCAGAAGTGGAGCTGCTTGTTAGTATCTCGAGAGAATTTAATCTAGTTCCTTTAACTTTATGAATCTTATCGTGGCAGGAATGGCCACAAACTCAATCTGGCTACTCCCACAAATTTGCTAAACAAACTAGTCCAGACCTTAAAAGGACAATTTTTAAGAGCCAATATAGTAGATTGGTACTGCAGCTTTTTTCCAAGCCTCTTGCTGGACCTGTCCACTTCATTACCCCCAAAGTGAAAGTGGCTCCCACAGACATGATGGCACTTATGGGCAGTAGATAGTGTGGACACAGCACTGCGAACTCTGGTACAGTTTGGCTAGCCCTGCACTACCCCTCCCATGCAAAGTTGGGTACAGCTCTACCCTGTAGGTGGGTGCTAGTGTCACGGTATCGAACCCTTGGGACAATAGTGCAGTGTACATTAGATTGCTATATTCTTTTATTAATGTAACCGTTGTTATTTTTTCTGAATCACTTGCACGATTATGTGGTAATTTTTTCTTTAATTTGCATCGGTTTTTGTTTTGCTTATTGCCTCCTAACTATATTCCGTGCCATATGGCCTTGGCTATTGCATTAAGATGGGTCTTCATCATTCTTTTGGTAGGAATGGTCTCCTCTTCCTAATCCATGTCTTTCCTAGTTGTATTTGTTGGATGAAGTGAATTTGAAATTTTGTCTTATATTGGCAGTTAAAAATTTAGTCTTACTAGGGTTTTGGTGCCTGGCAGTTTTGGAAGGGCTTTCTACTAGGACACAAAATATGGCTATGGATGTTTGCTAGGACCAGCAGTTATAAAATTTTCTAGAATTCAAAATCTAGGTTATTGGGTTGATCTTAAAATATTCACAGGGGTTGTGTTGACCAGTATGGAGTACATCATAATGAGGGAGACACTTGGCCAGACACCGCTGATCCTTGCACATATTGGCTGTGTATACGAAATGGCATTAAAAAACAACCTCGTGAAGACTGTCCGCCTCTCGGCCCTCGACCCCACACTGGGTGCAGTGTGGTTATAGACGACTGCTGCAGGAAGTGGAACTGCTCGTGAGTATCTAAATACGTGTGACTAGCCTGTGGCACTACTCTAAAATGGATTATGATCTTGAAGTGGCATTTAAAATGGGTGCAAGGCTAGGAAAATAAAATTCAGTGCTGTACTAGAATTGGAAAGATAATGGAGCCCACCAAGTTTTGTAGTAGAATATGGAGTTACTTTTTAAAGTGTTTTTGTACTCCGCCAACAAGGGCTTGGTGTGCTTTCATCCTCCCGAGCATTAATTGGCAACTACCTGGCCTAGTTTAGTTCTTTTGCTTACCTTTAGTAAAGGTGCTGTAGTCAAGAGTTGGTCAGACCTTAGTATAGCCTAGCCTAGCTCTTGGGGTTGGTTCAGAGGTATACAAACCTTCATGTCTCCTGCAGTGGCTGTGTTGATGAATATGGGGTATACCATGATATTGGAGACACCTGGCCCCACCTATCGGATCCTTGCCTTGGCTTCCTGTGTACACGAAATGGCATTGTAAAAAAGTCTGCGAGGGACGACTGTCCACTTCAAGGCCCAAGACCACATTCTGGATGTAAAGAAGTTACTGAAAACTGCTGCAAGAAGTGGGATTGTTTGTGAGTATTGTTCAAATGTATGAATTCTTCTGGTACTGCATTTTAAGATAAATAACTTGGGTATGTGTAATACTGTACATTACTGCACTTGGTAAACAATCTTTAAGCATATAACAAGGTTAGCAAGAAATGTCCTACAGTAACATCGTAATGGAATCAGTTTGGAGGTAGCAGATGTTTAACTTTTAAGGTTTGTGGATTGGAAAGCACTTTTAGTGCTTCCATAATAACTGAAATAGAGCCCTGTCCTGTAGTAGAATATTTGAGGTAAACTTGTACAGTAGGGTAACCTTGTTAAAGTGCTTTACAGTACTGTACCTTCTGGCTGAGGGCATTATATCCATTACACAGTTGTTGGCGAGTAGGTTGATGCATTGAGGCAAATTGAGTGAGTAAATTTAATTTGATGTAGTTTGCTCAAGTACAATTCATGGGAGTTTTCATTAAAATGCCTTTCTTAAGTAACTTAAAATTTCCTTTGATGGTGTAAGTGTTAAATTGCAGGATTAGTAGTTTGTATAACTTAAATAGTACAATAATATTTCACTAGGTTGCAGTATACTACAGTAAATATACTTTTTGTTGTAGGGAGTTTCTTAAACTGGCTCAGTAGTATTGAACTTTTAAATAGGGTCTTTAGTGCTTTAGTTTCTACTGACCTGGACACAAGCATCTGCCTTTTATTTTCACTAGATTTAAGTGGTTCTTCTTCAGTATCTTGTTTGACTGTAATATAACTGCAATGCACCAGGCTATAGGAACACGTGTAGGGTGGTGAATAATCATGAATTTAATGTAAATTACCAGTTTAGTTTTTGTACCTTGCCAACAAGGGTTTGGTGTACATTCATCCTCCCCAGCATTAATGTCTACTTCCTGGTTTAGTTCAGTTTTGCTTACCTTTAGTAAAGGTGCTGTAGTTAAGAGTTGGTCAGACATGAGTATAGCCTAGCTCTTGGTGTTGGTACAGAGGTATACAAACTTTGATGTCTCCTACAGTGGCTGTGTTGATGAATATGGGGTACACCATGATATTGGAGACACCTGGCCCCACCCATCAGATCCTTGCCTTAGCTTCCTGTGTACACGAAATGGCATTGTAAAGAAGTTTGTGAGGGACGACTGTCCACCTCGTGGCCCTAGACCACATTCTGGATGTAAAGAAGTTACTGAAAATTGCTGTGAGAAGTGGGACTGCTTGTGAGTTTAGCTATATACATTACTCTGTACAGTAGTTAAAAATTGAAAGGTTTGAATTCTGTCTAAATTACTGGGGTGGGGCCCTTTACCATGAATAGTAGTTTGCTTCCAATGGGCAGTTGGCTTGCAGTGTACCTAGTTAAAGGTCTGGGCACTACCAGCCTTCACTACAATTTATATAGCCTTTACAATATTCAGTACCAGGTTGTCCCATTGGACTATCTTGCTTTCCATTTCAGTTGATGGAACTAAGACTAAACTTTATTCTACTACTAGATTTATATACAGTCAACCCTCGCTTTACGCGGTTCCACATTACGCGTTTCCACGTTTATGCTGTACCCTGCTGAAACCGGAATGCTCGCTTTCCGCTGTGCGTGTACCCCTTTATGTGGAGAGTGGCGTGAGCAGGGTGTGCACAAGGTCGCCCAGTCATCAAAACCTTAGAGTTCTTCACCCACCACAGCCGGCCCAAGTCAGTGATGGTGAGGATATGGACATTGAGGGGTTTGACAAAGGCCGTTTAAGATTTGTGGTGGATAGTGATAGAGGTGAGGGCCAATAATCTGCCCTCTGCCTTGGAACCAACCCCTTGTCTGTGTGCCCAGCCATCTTTTCTAATGTAAGTGTTAGACCCTAATATTATTGAATTTTTTCTTCATTATTAATTGTGTGCATACCATCATAAAATTAAGTTATTTTTACTACAATGTAGGTATTGTCTGAAAAAGTGGAGTTTGGGGTGTCGGCCCAGTCTATTTCAATTAATCCCACATGTTACGTTGTTCACTTTACATGTTTCTCACTTTACGTGGGCCGCCGTGGGTTGAATTTACCGTGTAAAGTGAGGATTCGCTGTAGTATCGTATTTAAGTAATGGGTTCTTGAGATATGGTACTTGCCAGGGGTTGTGGACTGAGGGAGTCCTTCATAATATAGGACATGCCTGGCATGACCCAGTCAATCCTTGTATACTGTGTACACAAAAGGCATTGGAAGGTCTTTTAAGATGACTGTTCACCCATTGGCTTTCCGTCTCATTTGGAATGTAATATGGTTGAGGAAAAAGGTTGTGGGGCATAGAACTGCTCCTAAGTATTGACCCCCCCTCTAAAGTGACATGCCATTTGTGAAGGACAACTGAAGTACTTGGTTCTTTAAAGCTTAACATTCCAGGGACTCCTATCCACACATTGATGCATTCTAGGATTTCTATTGGGTTTGCAGATTTGGTATTGTTCATGTCTGCTATACAAATGAATGTAAAGATGGCTGTAATGTATTCTGGAGGACTCTTCGACCTCGATTCATGTGCTAATGGAACTAAACTGCTTTGAACGCTTTTAAGCATGAGCAGTTTAGTAAATTGTAATTTTTGGGTGCTTAAGTAGTCCATATATTTTCGAGTAAAACTATCAATTTTAAACTTTATAGTCTTTGAGCTAGTACTGGAACTTTATTCCTACATGAAGTGGCTAGGTGTTCAGTAAGGTTAATGATAATTTGTTGGCAAAATTTTTCTGATCTTAAAGATTTTAAGTAAGAGTTGGTTTTCAAACTGTTTGGGTAGACGAGATAATCTACAAAATGCACTTCAGGGTAATGTAATGGGTCCTAAACTAGTATTGGAATTTGCAAATGCAATAAAATCTCGTCTACTGTGGGTGATGGGCATGCTAGTACTTGTAGGTTTGGAGTAGATGGCTCCATGGTGCCATGGTATTGTAAAAGGGCACTGGAGGGCAGTTGAAGGCTTGTATAGGTCCTTAGTTTTGTACTAAACCTGACCATTGCCTTTTAATTTTTCTAGTGGTTGTATAGACCCTAATGGCGTTCACCACGATTTGGGACATACATGGCCAGCTGGTCCATGTACTCTTTGGACTTGTACAAGGCATGGTATTGTAAAGAAACCTCGTCGGGAAGACTGCCCCCCTCTTGGCCCAAGACCGAACAGAACTTGTGAAATGGCAGAAAGGGACTGTTGTGATGTTTGGGACTGTGTGTAAGTAACCAGCTTTGATTTTTTCTTGGGTCTTTCTGAAATTAATGTTCACAAATATAACTTCTAAATTACTAGCTCCCTGAAGGAAAACTCAAATTTTTCCCAAGAGCTGCTTTAAAGTTTGCCTAATATTTCTTGAAGGTTTACTGTATTAAATTTTTAAAGGAAGTAGGCTTAAGAAAACTCCATTGAATTATTTGTTCAAGTCCAGAAGGTGATGAATTTTGGGATTTCCTAAATTTTGGGTAACATAATAGAGGAAGTGACAGTGGGCCTATTGTCCCATACTGGGCAGTCCCATTTACTTCCAACCCCTATTGCTTGTAAATCCATCTGAAGTTATCCAGCATATTGGAGTTAATGATGGGTAACTTGGTTCATGATTTTCAAACCATTGTGTATTTTGTGCTTAAATCTAAATTTGTTTAACTTGAAAACCATTGGTTCACTACTGGTTGAACAGTTTGCTTACATTCTTAATGATGCTTTTGTTGATATAACTTCAATTTGTACCCCTCCATTGTATCTCTCTTGACCTCTTGGGAGTGCAAATTGAGATGCTTTAAATTATCTTGGTATTTGAGGTTCCTAATGCCTGGGTTCAGTTGTCATTATTTGCAGTTGTATAGAATTTTAAAACCAAGTTGGTTCTGTGTAGGATATTTGCCTGTAAGCAGGTACATGGATTCTACTTGTAGCAATGTCCAACATAACCATAGAGAAGAAAGGGTAAAGGTAAAATTGGTCTTTACCTTTGGAAAAATATTTTTATATTGGTTAGATGCCACCCAGTGATACTAAAACTTCATATTTTTTTGGCAGGGGTTGTGTTGATGCAAATGGTATACAGCGGAAGATTGGGGAAGAATGGTATGATCCGCTGAACCCCTGTATACATTGCGTGTGTAAAATTCATGGCATTGAGAAGACTCGCAAAATTTGTCCTAGACCAGTCCCTCGTCCTCATCCTGAATGTGAACGTGTTGTAGAGAACTGCTGCCATAAGTGGAATTGCTTGTGAGTAGAGAATTGGTTTAAATCTTGGCTTGTGGATCTGATAATGTGTACAGTGAAGCTCTCCTGGGAGTGATTGTACTAATTATCTTGCATGCCTAGTACTTTCCAACAGGGTAACTGAAGTTACTGACCACCAGAAGTGGCTGACTAGCTGATCCATTGGGAAGAGGATTAGGTTAACAAGTTTAGTTGCTTGGTTTTTAAAGGTCTAATTTGCAGGACCAGTGGCTGTAAAGTTTTCTAAAACAGTTTTTATTATTCGTTTTGAAAACTCCCTAATGTATAGTACAAATGATTAAAATAACGGCTCTGACAAATCCCTTTGTTAGGAGAATTTAAAAAATTTTCAGGTTGAAATTTTGATGGTTTGGGATAACTTGGACACCACACAAAAAAAAGCTGCTATAAGGGTAGACTTAATTTTTTTCTCCATAATGTAGCCTTCAGTGATTCATTCTCTGATTAGTACGAAACTACCTGTTTTAGTTCTGGAATGTTGGCTCCTACAAATGCCTTGCACAGGTCCAACAAAAAACCAAATGCAGGCCCTCAAGCTGTAGTAAGAAGGCATGTGCAGCCGACCAGTTTTGGCTGTGCAGTGGTAGTTTTGTGCATGAAGTTCCAAGTTGACAAATGTATGATTACTCTTAATTCGCTTGTTTTGCAAGCTCTTCATGCCCAATTCTCTACCTGACCTCTTTGGTCTGCAGTAATCTCCATACAGGAGTAACTTGGACTCTTTGACTGCAGAACTGGCCAATAGTGGCGTTTATCAATAAATTTAAAAATGTGAAATGGTATTGGTAAGTTGGTACATACACTGTACTATAATGGCTATAGCCAGTGAGAAATACCATAATTTTGTTTGACTAAAATGTTGTTGGAATGACTAACTTGCCAGATGGCATATGCTAAAGCACTTGCTGGAATAATGCTAATTATTTTTTAGACACTTAGAATTGTTAAATTTGCATTCATTTGATTCTACCCAAATGATATTTAGGGGCTGTGAAGACGACTTCAAAGTGCATCACAACATTGGAGAGACTTGGGTGGACCCAACTGATCCCTGTGTGACCTGCCTGTGTACTTCCTTTGGTATAGTGAAGACCAGGAAAGACTGTAGACCTCTGGGTCCTCGACCTAATGCTGGTTGTAAGGTCGTCATTGAAGACTGCTGCCAGAAGTGGGACTGTGGCAAGTGAGTAATGGTTGATAAATAATTTTATATAGTCCTGTTGATTCGATGTAAACCTATGAGATTAATTTTTAAGTTTTGAGCAGTTGTCTTCTATCTTTAGTACCCTGGGTTCTGTTTACTTTTGAGCTGGTATTTCAAAAGGGAAATAAGTAAATGCAGTTGCTTTTCACTGGCATACCATGGTTAGCTGCCAGAAGTGAGTGTAAATGGGTGGTTAAGAGAATAAAAGTGGCTATAGTAATCGAATGTGTAATTTAGTTGTAAATATAAGTTGTTAATATGGCATGGCTGTAGCTTAATTCTGTAAAAATATTTATTTTCACCATAAATTCTTAGGGACTGTGTAGATGAGAGTGGTGTATCTCACAATCTGGGAGAGACTTGGGTGGACCCAACTGATCCCTGTGTGACCTGCCGGTGTACATCCTTTGGTATAGTGAAGACCAGGAAAGACTGTAGACATCTGGGTCCTCGACCTAATGCTGGTTGTAAGGTTGTCATTGAAGACTGCTGCCAGAAGTGGGACTGTGGCAAGTAAGTAATGGTTGAAAACCACCTTTGATCTGGAATAGCTTTTCCATTCTAGATGCTAATTTAATCTTGGTTAATACTGTAAACTGAAAAAAAAAAATCTGGAGTTGAGCAGTCTTTGGATATTCCTGAATTTTCAGTTCCTAGAATTTAAATTTCTGTAAAACTTAAAGCGTGTAGAAACCTGCGTTATTCTCACTGGGCCTAGAAGACTTTACTTTAGTGGGGGCATTTATTTACAAGTGCTCTTTTGGCTTGGCTTTCACAAGCTTGTTGGAAAGTGGTAAAATAAATGGTTTGGTAACTTTTTTAATTTTAATCTCTTGCATTGTAGAATAATTTTGTGAAACCCTAGGGATTGAAATTGTAAAGGCTGTTCCTTAAATGACCAGTGCACTTGTTATATATGAAATGGTGACCTAGTAGTAAGGTGGTAAGCATTTTTAACCTGCATGCCAAATGGCACTTTACAGTGCTAAATTTGACTCCTGGTTTTTGTAAATGATGTTTGATTTGAGGCCCTAAATTTTGCCTGCAACATTTGGATTAAAGGGCTTGAGAATAACTTTCCTGTTTAACTGGTCTATGAATCTCTGGTTCATTTTTTTCTTAAAGTAAACTATGGGAGAATGCAGTATTGAGGCAGTACTTTCTATCTTCACTGGCTTGAGTAATGAATTTGGGATAATAATTAGAATGGTTAATGTCTTACAATGGTGGGTTTGGAAATTTTGGGTATAAATTTTAATCCAGAATGTGTTGTAACATTTGTTTTCTCTGCAGATGGAACCAATTCTTAACCCACAATTGATAAAAAAATCTATTTCCCATTATGAATGTATAAATGGGGTTAATTCTGTACTGTACAAAAATAATCTAGTCGATTATAAACCCTTGAGAATGGCAATTAAATGCTAGGTAGCAATGTGTCCTAATACAGTATTACCTATTGAGTAATTATGGCTTTATTGCTTGTTGGCCTGGTGAGTTATTGCTAGGCATTAACCTACCTAGGTGTAAGCTAGGCCATATTCTTCTGGATTGAACAAAAGTAATTTACTCCATTATAAACCCTACACTATGGGTAAATGGTTGGATTGGATGAATGCACAAAGTCTTAACAGTGTTGAAGTGCTGAAGGGCAGACATTTGGGATTCTTGCAGACCCCTTGGGTATCAACAATCCTTATTGCATGTTACACTAGACTAATTCTCGTTGATTTCTTAGGGACTGTGTAGATGAGAGAGGTGTATCTCACAATCTGGGGGAGACTTGGGTGGACCCAACTGATCCCTGTGTGACCTGCCTGTGTACATCCTTTGGTATAGTAAAGACCAGGAAAGACTGTAGACCTCTGGGTCCTCGACCTAATGCTGGTTGTAAGGTTGTCATTGAAGACTGCTGCCAGAAGTGGGACTGTGGCAAGTGAGTAATGGTTGATAAATAATTTTATATAGTCCTGTTGATTCGATGTAAACCTATGAGATTAATTTTTAAGTTTTGAGCAGTTGTCTCCTATCTTAAGTACCCTGGGTTCTGTTTAATTTTTGAGCTGGTATTTCAAAAGGGAAATAAGTAAATGCAGTTGCTTTTCACTGGCATGCCATGGTTAGCTGCCAGAAGTGTGTAAATGGGTGGTTAAGAGAATAAAAGTGGCTATATTAATCGAATGTGTAATTTAGATGTAAATTTAAGTTAATATGGTATGGCTGAAGCTTAATTCTGTACAAATATTTATTTTCACCATAAATTCTTAGGGACTGTGTCGATGAGAGAGGTGTATCTCACAATCTGGGAGAGACTTGGGTGGACCCAACTGATCCCTGTGTGACCTGCCGGTGTACATCCTTTGGTATAGTGAAGACCAGGAAAGACTGTAGACCTCTGGGTCCTCGACCTAATGCTGGTTGTAAGGTTGTCCTTGAAGACTGCTGCCAGAAGTGGGACTGTGGCAAGTAAGTAATGGTTGAAAACCACCTTTGATCTAGAGTAGATCTTCCATTCTAGATGCTAATTTAATCCTTGTTAATACAGTCGACCTTCTCTTTACGCGGTTCCACATTACGCCTTTCCACGTTTATGCGGTACTTTGCCGAAACCGGAATGCTCACTTTCCGCGGTGCGTGTACCCCTTTATGTGGAGAGTGGCGTGAGCAGGGTGTGCACAAGGTTGCCCAGTCATCAAAACCTTAGAGTTCTTCACCCACCACAGCCGGCCCAAGTCAGTGATAATGAGTGAGGATATGGACATTGAGGGGTTTGACAAAGAGGCCGTTTAAGATTTGTGGTGGATAGAGGTGAGGGCCAATAATCTGCCCTCTGCCTTGGAACCAACCCCTTGTCTGTGCCCAGCCATCTTTTCTAATGTAAGTGTTAGACCCTAATATTATTGATATTTCTCTTAATTATTAATTGTGTGCATACCATCATAAAATTAAGTTATTTTTACTACAATGTAGGTATTGTCTGAAAAAGTGGAGTTTGGGGTGTCGGCCCAGTCTATTTCAATTAATCCCACATGTTACGTTGTTCACTTTACGTGTTTCTCACTTTACGCGGGCCGCCGTGGGTTGAATTTACCGTGTAAAGTGAGGATTCACTGTACTGGTAACTGAAAAATCTGGAGTTGAGCAGTCTTTGGATATTCCTGAATTTTCAGTTCCTAGAATTTAATTTCTGTAAAACTTAAAGAGTGTAGAAACCTGCATTACTCACTGGGCCTAGCAGGCTTTACTTTAGTGGGGGCATTTATTTAAAAGTTCTCTTTTGGTTTAGCTTTCACAAGTTTGTTGGAAATTGGTAAAATAAATGGTTTGGTAACTTTTTTAATCTAACTGTTTCGCATTGTAGAATAATTTTGTGAAACCCTAGGGACTGAAATTGTAAAGGCTGTTCCTTAAATGACCAGTGCACTTGTTAGATGTGAACTGGTGTCCTAGTAGTAAGGTGGTAAGCATTTTTAACCTGCATGACAAATGGCACTTTACTGTGCTTAAATTTGGGACTCCTGGTTTTTGTAAATGTGTGATTTGAGGCCCTAATTTTGCCTGCAACAATTGGATTAAAGGGCTTGAGAATAACTTTCCGGTGTTCAACTGGTCTATGAATCTCTGGTTCCTTTTTTCTTGAAGTAAACTATGGGAGAATGCAATATTGAGGCAGAGTACATTCTATTTTCACTGGCTTGAGTAATGAATTGGAGATAATAATTAGAATGGTTAATTTCTTGCAATGGTGGGTTTGGAAGTTTTGGGTATAAATTTTCATCCAGAATGTGTTGCTTGAATTTTGTATTCTCTTTGCGGATGGGACCAATTTTTATCCCACAATTGATAAAAATTCTATTCCCTTTTGAATATATAAATGGGGTTAATTCTGTACTGTACAAAAATAATCTAGTCCAATATAAACCTTTGGAGAATGGCAATTAAATGCCAGGTAGCAATGTGTCCTAATAGTGTTACTTATCAAGTAATTATTAGATGTTTTATTCCCTGTTGGCCTGGCGAGTTATTGCTAGGCATTAACATACCTAGGTGTAAGCTAGGCTGTCTCATTCTGGATTGAACAAAAATAATCTAGTCCATTATAAACCCTACACTATGGGTAAATGGTTGGAGTGGATTAATGCAGAAAGTCTCTCGACCACTCTTAGTGCTGAAGGGTAGACATTTGGGAATCTTGCAGACACCCCCTTGGATATTAACTGAATCATTATTGCATGTTACACTAGACTAATTCTCATTGACTAATTTATTAGGGACTGTGTAGATGAGAGAGGTGTATCTCGCAATCTGGGGGAGACTTGGGTGGACCCAACTGATCCCTGTGTGACCTGCCTGTGTACATCCTTTGGTATAGTGAAGACCAGGAAAGACTGTAGGCCTCTGGGTCCTCGACCTAATGCTGGTTGTAAGGTTGTCATTGAAGACTGCTGCCAGAAGTGGGACTGTGGCAAGTAAGTCGAGATTACCCAATTTTTTTTGGTGATCCTGATGTTTTTAGGGTATTCATTTTCAGACCCTGTAGATCTGTTCCTACAGTGCATTTATTTGGTATATTCAGACTTTACAGTAGTTAGTAATGAAGGTCTCGAGTAACCTTGGGTTAAGGTAAAAGATACTTCTGCTGGTAATTATATGGATGAATAAAGTGTTTTATTGTCAAGACAGGCTTTGCTGTTGTATGAAGAAAAACCTTGATGCAGTATTTGTGTACATGCAAGTTAATTTTTAACATGGCAGAGCTTAATTCTGTCTGAAATAACTTTTTTGATCTATAGGGACTGTAAAGATGCAAGTGGATTCTCACATAATCTAGGGGACACTTGGGTGGACCCAACTGATCCCTGTGTGACCTGCCTGTGTACAGTCTTTGGTATACAGAAGTCGAGCAAGCTGTGTCCATCTCTGGGTCCTCGACCTGGTCCTGGTTGCAGGGTTGTCGTTGTTGATTGTTGCCAGAAGTGGGATTGTGGCGAGTAAGTAATGATTGAATCTTTTCTATAGTTCTGGTGCTTTTCTAAACATTTAGTTTCTCTGTAGTTGCCAAAATCCAATATACTGTGGGTATGCTTTAGTCCTGTATCTCGGAGCTGGCAATTAAGAGTTAAGGTTTAACTTCACTGCTGATAGCTGCTGTACTTGGGTGAAGTGTTGTATTGGCTTGTTGGTGGTAAAGCAGTTTCTTGAGTTGGTCCTATACCTGAATCTGGGTGTAAAATTCTGGGGGGGGGCCAATTGGTACTTTTAGATTGGGATGTGGGATAGCCAATACAATATTGCAGAGTACCTTGATGGCATTATTCTTAAGTTAGAGGCATAACTCGTCAGGTTTCATAGTGCTTTTTGGGAATTTAATTTGTACAGTAAGCTTTATCATTGCAAAACTTGTAAACCCTAATGAATACCAGGACTGTGGCAAGTGAGTAATGGTTTAAAAAAATTGTAAATTAATCTTCATGTCTGGCTTGGCTGTTGCAATACCTGATTAAATCTTTTAGTTCTTAATGAATAATAATTTCTCAGGGACTGTAAGGATCAGAATGGTGTGCATCATAATGTGGGAGATACTTGGGTAGACCCAAGAGATCCCTGTATGACCTGCCTGTGTACATACTCTGGTATTGTTAAGTCCAAGAAAGACTGTCCATCTCCTGGTCCTCGACCTAATGCTGGTTGCAAGATTGTCGTTGAAGACTGCTGCCAGACGTGGGACTGTGGCAAGTGAGTAATGGTTGATAAATAATGTAATCTAGAAAGGTGGTTTCCAGAAGATTGGTTATCAGGATAATGTAGAGCTAGTAAGGCTATAGACGACCATCTACAGTGGGGTTTAAGTCCTTGACAGTACTTGGCCTATCAAGTATCTGAAGTTCTTGGGTATGGAGGGGAGTCTTAAACCCATGCTGTGGTTTAGGCATAATGTGATGACTAATGCTATTGGCAGATCACAATAGTGTATACTGAATTGGATGCCAGACATGTCTAAGTGTTGAAATCCTTTGACCTGACTACATCATGAATTTTAAAAGGTTAGGGATGGTTGGTGTGGGATGATGCTAGACAATTGGTATTTTTAACTAACTTTGGACAGTTTTCTGCTAATGCTTGAACTATTTTGTTCTACAGGGCTTGTTAGTGGTAGTAAAGATACTGCCTAAATGTTCTGAATGCATTCTTTCAAGCTGATGTTGAATTAAACATTAGGTAAAAAGTAGTGCTAATAAATTCTAGATTACTTAAACTAGAGAAATTAAAGTATGCCCTTGGCAAGCCACTTAAAGGAGCTACTATAGTGATAGTAATTTTTACTTAGTTTTGTACTAAAGTTAGTATTGTGAATATTGGGGTTTAGGCATGTCAATACAGGGTATAGATATTTATATATTCTCTCAATGCTGACCAATTGGATGTATCAAATGGTTTGTATTTGTGTATCCTGTTGTTGGATAATAGATATTTGAATAAGTAAATGGTAGGGACTGACTTGGCTGTTGCAATACAAAATTAACTTGACTAGTTCTTAATGAATAATAATTTCTCAGGGACTGTAAGGATCAGAATGGTGTGCATCATAATGTGGGAGATACTTGGGTGGACCCAAGAGATCCCTGTATGACCTGCCTGTGTACATACTCTGGTATTGTCAAGTCCAAGAAAGACTGTCCATCTCCTGGTCCTCGACCTAATGCTGGTTGTGAGATTGTCGTTGAAGACTGCTGTCAGAAGTGGGACTGTGGCAAGTGAGTAATGGTTTAAAAAGAATTGTAAATTAATCTTCATGTCTGGCTTGGCTGTTGCAATACCAGATTAAATCTTTTAGTTCTTGATGAAGAATTATTTTCAGGGACTGTAAGGATCAGAATGGTGTGCATCATAATGTGGGAGATACTTGGGTGGACCCAAGAGATCCCTGTATGACCTGCCTGTGTACATACTCTGGTATTGTTAAGTCCAAGAAAGACTGTCCATCTCCTGGTCCTCGACCTAATGCTGGCTGCAAGATTGTCGTTGAAGACTGCTGCCAGACGTGGGACTGTGGCAAGTGAGTAATGGTTGATAAATAATGTAATCTAGAAAGGTGGTTTCCAGAAGATTGGTTATCAGGATAATGTAGAGCTAGTAAGGCTATAGACGACCATCTACAGTGGGGTTTAAGTCCTTGACAGTACTTGGCCTATCAAGTATCTGAAGTTCTTGGTTATGGAGGGAAGTCTTAAACCCATGCTGTGGTTTAGGCATAATGTGATATGACTAATGCTATTGGCAGATCACAATAGTGTATACTGAATTGGATGCCAGACATGTCTAAGTGTTGAAATCCTTTGACCTGACTACATCATGAATTTTAAAAGGTTAGGGATGGTTGTTGTGGGATGATGCTAGACAATTGGTATTTTTAACTAACTTTGGACAGTTTTCTGCTAATGCTTGAACTATTTTGTTCTACAGGGATTGTTAGTGGTAGTAAAGATACTGCCTAAATGTTCTGAATGCTTTCTTTCAAGCTGATGTTGAATTAAACATTAGGTAAAATGTAGTGCTAATAAATTCTAGATTACTTAAACTAGAGAAATTAAAGTATGCCCTTGGCAAGCCACTTAAAGGAGCTACTATAGTGATAGTAATTTTTACTTAGTTTTGTACTAAAGTTAGTATTGTGAATATTGGGGTTTAGGCATGTCAATACAGGGTATAGATATTTATATATTCTCTCAATGCTGACCAATTGGATGTATCAAATGGTTTGTATTTGTGTATCCTGTTGGATAATAGATATTTGAATAAGTAAATGGTAGGGAATGACTTGGCTGTTGCAATACAAAATTAAATTGACTAGTTCTTAATGAATAATAATTTCTCAGGGACTGTAAGGATCAGAATGGTGTGCATCATAATGTGGGAGATACTTGGGTGGACCCAAGAGATCCCTGTATGACCTGCCTGTGTACATACTCTGGTATTGTCAAGTCAAGAAAGACTGTCCATCTCCTGGTCCTCGACCTAATGCGCAGTTGTGAATTGTCGTTGAAGACTGTTGTCAGAAGTGGGACTGTAACTTAGAGTGAGTAATGGTTTAAAAAATTATGTAGGGTAATCTTCATGTCTGGCTTGGCTGTTGCAATACGAGATTAAATCTTTTAGTTCTTGATGAAATTATTTTCGAGGGGACTGTAGGATCAGAATGATTGTTGCATCATAATGTGGGAATACTTGGGTGGACCCAAGAGATCCCTGTATGACCTACCTATGTACATACTCTGGTATTGTTAAGTCCGAGAAAGACTGTCCATCTCCTGGTCTCGACCTAATGCTGGCTGCAAGATTGTGGAAGACTGCTTTGCCAGACGTGCGGACTGGCAAAGTGAGTAATGGTTGATAAATAATGTAATCTAGAAAGGTGGTTTCCAGAAGATTGGTTATCGGGATAATGTAGAACTGTAGTAAAGGCTAGACGACCATCTACGAGTGGGGTTTAAGTCCTTGACGTACTTGGCTATCAAGTATCTGAAGTTCTTGGTTATGGAGGAAGTCTTAAGCCCATGCTGTGGTTTTAGGCATAATGTGATATGACTAATGCTATTGGCAGATCACAATAGTGTATACTGAATTGGATACCAGACATGTCTGTGAAATCAGCACAACCTGACTACATCATAATTTTAAAAGGTTAAAGGGATGGTTGGTGTGGGATGATGCTAAGACAGTGGTATTTTTAACTAACTTTGGACGGTTTCTGCTAATGCTTGAACTATTTTTTGTTCTGGGGGCTTGTTAGTGGTAGTAAAGATACTGCCTAAATGTTCTGAAAGCATTCTTTCAAGCTGATGTTGAATTAAACATTAGGTAAAAGTAGTGCTAATAAATTCTAGATTACTTAAACTAGAAGTTAAAAGTATACCCTTGGCAAACCACTTAAAGGAGCTACTATAGTGATATTAATTTTTACTTAGTTTTGTACTAAAGTTAGTATTGTGAATATTGGGGTTTAGGCATGTCAATACAGGGTATAGATATTTATATATTCTCTCAATGCTGACCAATTGGATGTATCAAATGGTTTGTATTTGTGTATCCTGTTGTTGGATAATAGATATTTGAATAAGTAAATGGTAGGGACTGACTTGGCTGTGCAATACAAATTAAACGACTAGTTCTTAATGAATAATAATTTCTCAGGGACTGTAAGGATCAAGTGTGCATCATAATGTAGGAGATACTTGGGTGGACCCAGAGATCCTGTATGACCTACCTGTGTACATACTCTCTGGTATTGTCAAGTCCAAGAAAGACACAATCATCTCTGGTCCTCTGACCTAATAACGATTTGTGAGATTGTCGTTGAAGACTGCTGTCAGAAGTGGGACTGTAACTGAAGTAGAGTAATGGACTTAAAAAATTGTAGAATTAATCTTCATATACGAAGCTTGGCTGTTTGCAATACCAGATTAAATCTTTTAGTTCTTGATGAAGAATTATTTTCAGGGACTGTAAGGATCAGGAATGGTGATGCATCATAATGTGGGAAGTACTTGGGTGGACCCAAGAGATCCCTGTATGACCTGCCTGTGTACATACTCTGGTATTGTTAAGTCAAAGCTGTCATCTCTGGTCCTCGACCTAATGCTGGCTGCAAGATTGTCGTTGAAGACTGCTGCCAGACGTGGGACTGTGGCAAGTGAGTAATGTGGTTGAGTAATAATGTAATCCCTAGAAAGGGTGGTTTCAGAAGATTGGTTATCAGGATAATGTAGAGCTAGTGAGCTATAGACGACCATCTACAGTGGGGTTTAAGTCCTTGACAGTACTTGGCCTATCAAGTATCTGAAGTTCTTGGTTATGGAGGAAGTCTTAGAAAACCCATGCTGTGGTTTAGGCACTCTTCTATGTGATATGACTAATGTGGCGAATCACAATAGTGTATACTGGATTGGATGCCAGACATGTCTAGGTAATTTGAAATCCTTTGACCTGACTACATCATGAATTTTAAAGGTTAGGGATGGTTGGTGTGGGATGATGCTAGACAATTGGTATTTTTAACTAACTTTTGGACAGTTTTCTGCTAATGCTTGAACTATTTTTTGTTCCACAGGGCTTGTTAGTGTGGTAGTAAAGATACTGCCTAAATGTTCTGAAAGCATTCTTTCAAGCGCGATAATTTGAATTAAACATTAGGTAAAAAGTAGTGCTAATAAATTCTAGATTACTTAAACTAGAAATTAAAGAAACATGCATGGCAGAAACCACTTAGAGGAGCTACTATAGTGATAGTATTTTTACTTAGTTTTATTACTAAAAGTTAGTATTGTGAATATTGGGGTTTAGGCCTGTCAATACAGGGTATGAATGTTTATATATATTCTCTCAATGCTGACCAATTGGATGTATCAAATGGTTTGTATTTGTATCTTGTTGTTGGATAATAGATATTTGAATATAAGAAGTAAATGGTAGGGACTGACTTGTACATTTGCAATACAAATTAACTGACTAGTTCTTAATGAATAATAATAATTTCTCAGGACTGTAGGATCAGAATGGTGTGCATCATAATGTGGGAGATACTTGGGTGGACCCAAGAGATCCCTGTATGACCTACTATTATACTCTGGTATTGTCAAGTCAAGAAAGACTGTCCATCTCCTGGTCCTCGACCTAATGCTGGTTATTGAGATTGTGATTTGAAGACTGCTGTCAGAAGTGGGACTGTGGCTTGAAGTGGTAATGGTTTAAAATTGTAAATTAATCTTCATGTCTGTGGCAACATTTGCAATACCAGATTAAATCTTTTTAGTTCTTGATGAAGAATTATTTTTAGGGACTGTAAGGATCAGAATGGTGTGCATCATAATGTAGGAGATACTTGGGTTGGACGAGAGATACTGTATGACCTGCCTGTGTGCATACTCTGGTATTGTTAAGTCCAAGAAAGACTGTCCATCTCCTGGTCCTCGACCTAATGCTGGCTGCAAGATTGTCGTTGAAGACTGCTGCCAGACGTGGGACTGTGGCAAGTGAGTAATGGTTGATAATAATGTAATCTAGATAGGTGGTTCCAGAAGATTGGTTATCTGGATAATGTAGGCTAGTAAGGCTATAGACGACCATCTACAGTGGGGTTTAAGTCCTTGGCAGTGCCAGCTACATCAAGAGTATCTGAAGTTCTTGGTTATGGAAGTGTAGCCCATGGTTTGAGGCGCAATAAATTATGACTAATGCTATTGGCAGATCACAATAGTATACTGAATTGGATGCCAGACATGTCTAAGTGTTGGAAATCCTTTGACCTGACTACATCATGTGAATTTTAAAGGTTAGGGATGGTTGGTGTGGGATGATGCTAGACAATTGGTATTTTAACTAACTTTGGACAGTTTTCTGCTAATGCTTGAACTATTTTGTTCCACAGAGGCTTGTTAGTGGTAGTAAAAGATGCTGCCTAAATGTTCTGAAAGCATTCTTAACTCAAGCTGATGTTGAATTGTTAGGTAAAAGTAGTGCTAATAAATTCTAGATTACTTAAACTAGAAATTAAGAGTATGCCCTTGGCAACCACTTAGAGGAGCTACTATAGTGATAGTAATTTTTACTTAGTTTTGTACTAAAAGTTAGTATTGTGAATATTGGTAGGCCTGTCAATACGGTATAGATATTTATATATTCTCTCAATGCTGATAATTGGATGTATCAAATGGTTTGTATTTAATATCTTGTTGTTGGATAATAGATTTGAATAAGT